CAGATGCGGCGCGGGTGCGAGCGGTCCCCTTCCAGCCGCCCCATTCCATTAGAAGGGCATACAATCTACAGCATGGAATGAGATTATTGGAGCATAGAATATTTCAAGCAAGTAAAGAGAAGCAAAACACTTACCAAAACAAGTTCTGCTCTGGAATTGTCCAATTCTTCTTGAATCTTGATATGACTAGCTTTCTGCGCATCCAACGAGCGCACAAAATTCTCTTTTTCACCTTCTGCGGTTTGCAACTTGGCTTTTAGCTCTGCTATCTCAGCAGCGAGAGAGTCAGACTGTTGCATTGATACCTGAAACAATCGAGAATATGCAAATTTATTTCACAATGCACAACGCATACATTCTTTAGTTGCTCCTCGAGCTGAGCACATTTGGCTTCCAGATCTCTTCGCTGTTGATCAGCTTCCATTCGTTTTTCAAGTGCGCTATCATCTAATGAGAACTCGGCGGCAGATGGTGCCGATTCCTGAACATGCAATAAAAATCGAACACCTCATCACAATGACTTCGATCAAAAACCGACCGTCGGTGCGGAGGTGAGCTTTTTCTGCAGTTCTTCTATTTGGAAATCTTTTGAGATGGTTTCTTCCTCCAATCGGAAATTCAAATCCTCGATCATTTTCTCTTTCGCAAGTAGCTCAGTTTTCAATGCTTTCTTTTCAGACTCGAGTTTGGCTATCTTAGACAAATCCCAATGAAATTACGGACTAATGGAAAGAAAGACAGCAAAAATTCAGGTAGGCTCACCTTCTCCGAGTCCTGACCAGGCAACTGACCATAATCGGAACGTTCCATATCCCTTTCTCGCATGAGCTGTTCCAAATGCTTCTCCTTTTCTTGTAAAGCTTCCTAAACAAAAAAAGTACTCAAAAACGACTAATTAACGTTAACCAAGTTAGAACTAGGTTGAAAATCAGCAAAGACAGGAGATCTGACGACAAGAAAGGATAACACACACCTGTAGCGCTTTGATGGTGGCATTCTGTCCTGCGACTGAGTGCGAA